GATGTATTGTAGTATACTACAGTATACTACCGACAAGCTCGGCTGACACTCGTATTGCATTATAGTATTTTATTACAGTTAAATAACCCCGGCTGGTAGCCGTTATGTATTGTAGTATACTACAGTATACTACAGACAAGCTCGGCTGACACTCGTATTGCATTATAGTATTTTATTACAGTTAAATAACCCCGGCTGGTAGCCGTGATGTATTGTAGTATACTATAGTATACTACAGACAGGCCCGGCTGATAGCCTTGTTGTCGGCTGGTAGCCGTATTGTCGGCTGGTAGCTGTGATGTATCGTAGTATACTATAGTATACTACCGACACTGCCTCGTCCCCAGTCGCTTATTAATTAGGAGAAATGAAAGAAATAATTATAAAAAATAATAAAAAAACGAATAATTAAGAGGAAATTTAAATACGTTGATCTCAGTTAAATTTGATCTACATAGAGGAGCCTGTGGAGGAGGCAGTGCTGCGATGTATTGTAAGTATTGTATTAAAGTGTAGATACGGCTCGGCTGTCCTTATTCTGTGACTGTACCCTTGGCCGTGTACGATGGTGTACGTAGTTACGCAATATTTAATCGCGCTGCCTAAGAATAACCTCTATATATACAGTAAATTAACGTATTTTCCGTGTAAGACGTGGTGGCGCAGAGGGACAGGACTCAGCGTGTATGCTGAAGGTCATGAGTTCGGTCCCGGAATGCGCGCAAACGAATTTCAAATTATTTTTTTTGCCGAAATTGGTTTTTTTCTCGTTTATTTACCTGTCGCATAGCTAGCTATATGCATTGGGAAGATGAATTTAGATGCATTTCGATGATTTTCGAAAAATTTAATGTAATTTTGGTGGTTTTCTGCTTATGAAACATTCTAGAACCAGTCTCCGAAATGCGTGCATTTTTTGAACGAACAGTATACTATAGTACAGCCCGGCTGGCAGCCGAGCAATCGGAGACAAAATTTCCGGCTGTCAGCCGGCGTCAAACGCGCTAATCGGGTGACTGCGCAATCTATATCATTTTTTCCAGAAATTTTGCGCGGCGAATTTTCGTTTTTGCGCGTCCGGCGTGAAATTTTGCGCGTGAAATTTTGACCTTTCTCATTGGCGCCGCGACAGTGGTTATACACTGAAATTAATGGATTTCGTATTCTTCAACATTTTGTCTTTAGGCATATACCAAACACTACCAAACAGTTATACTAACAGTCTAACAAAATAATTATTTCAGTTAATAGTAAGCCTGTAAGAAAACCAACATTAATAAACACCTACTTCATTACCTACCCACTTAAATGTACAGTTTCAAGTCACCTTTTGATCAAGGCATCAAGCATTTTAGCAGTACCACTACACATACCATAATATAAGTACAGTAATATCATTAGCATTGGTGACTTACGTTCATCATTCATAACATCTTACCAAAAATACATGAAAGGTTGACACCAAATAAATTCGCTTCGTTGATGATAAATCAGCAGAAAAACCATTTTCTCAGCAGGAAGCTTTCCTCAAAACATGGTTCAGCAGCCAAGGTGGTGGACTGGTGGTTAAGGAAGGTTTATAAGGTCTCCATTATTAAATGTCTATATTCAGCAACTAGGTGGTGGACTTGTGGTTAAGGAAGGTTTATAAGTTCTCTGTTATTAAATGTCTTAAGTCTACATTCAGCAACCAGGAAGGTTTATTTATAAGTTCTCTATTATTAAATGTCTATAGAAATCGTCATCTGCTTTGGTTGAGCCACTGCCTTAGTCTTTGCACAACCACTACATAGCACCTGTGCACCAAACCCTTCTTCATCCTCAGCAGTAGATGTTGAGCAAGGTGGAATGGCATGACAGGCCTTTTTGCCTACTTTGCAAAAATGACTTCCACATTCCTTCTCACATGAAGCACAAACTAATATTATAACAAAAATAAATTATAAATATGTTTATAAATAAAAAGTCATTAATAATTCAGGAGCAATACACAATAAAAAATCATAAGCGTGTCGTGGTTTTTTATGTGATAAAAAATCATGTTAATTTACATAGACTTTAGCTTTGATTTTCTCGATTTAGACAACGTTTATTTTAAAAATTACTTGGCCAAATCGCAAATGAACTCGTATAAGATAATAAGATGAATAGTTTAAGCCATTTAAAGCACTTGTAGTCGTGTTTTATTACATATAAAAGTTTTATCACATATAAAACACTCCGCTATGCGTCGTGTTTTATGATAAAACACTCCTACGCGTGCTTTACATAGTACATATGTGGGTCGCTTATTAAGCTATTACGCAGTTTACGCTGTTTACGTCAATCACCTTATTACCAGCCTTACCTCGTTTAACTGTCTGGATCTCTGCCATCTTTATATTTACCATGAGACGTGACAACCTCGTACCCAGGCTCTTACCTTCGCACGCCCCAAGCTGCGGAAAGACCCAATCTCGTTCCCCGAGCCTGCGATCCTTGGGAAGGAAACGAAGGCTCTGGGATAATCCATCTCAGAAATGAATATGATTGGTTGCTGGTATACAATGGAATGTTGCAATTTTGCAAAAATTAATTTTTAACCGTATATTTTTACATACAACATGGCGGCCGTTTAGGAGTGTACGAATATTTTTGTTTTGGTTTTTCAGAGCTGTGCTATATACTAATACTACAAAGGAAATGCAAAGAAACGTATACTTAATGCGTACAATATCACAACAGTTAAATGGAGTGGGAAAACATTACTCATATTTGTGTTGTACAGGTTTTCTGTAGTTTTAATCTATACATAGTATACAGTACTGTCAGTACACTGTACTATTTGACTATAATATCAAATATGTGCTATATTTTGCAAATACTATTTGTGTCAGAAATGATTAATAACTTTTATTAATTTGTCTTTGTGTTTATTTAATTGCGAAGAACTAGCTAATGACTAGTTTCAATAAATCCAATCTTGGGATTTACTGTTATATATTTTATTATTTAATGTATATACTGTACTGTAAACTTTTCAAGTGCAGGAGTATGTAATACTCATTTTAACTTGCAGCATGTAACCCTTCCCTATATGGGTGCATGTGAATATTTTGCTGTTATAATTTATTTATAGAAGACTAAGAAGAGTTCAAAAAATCTTTATTCTCTAAATAAACCACAATTTCACAGGCAGTGATATTGAACTTGTATTCTAGTCTGCATACATCTAATATTTGAATTCTTGGGTTTCACTATGGCATTTTGCACGTTCTGACGGGGGGTCAACCTAAAATGTATTGATGCTTATGCTGTACTGGAGTGAGCAAATTATATGAAATTGCATGTATTTGCCACCAAACACAAGGCCAACACATACAGTGAAAAATTAATTCACTCTGATGACTGTATCTCGATTTGGAGTTGACCCCCCGTCAAATTTATGACGTCATATGAAACACAATAATACATAGTATAATATTACAGCTAATTGTAGCATAAAGTATTTAATGATTTTAATTTATTGATTAGTACAATATGCCAAATTGGCAATCCCTTCTTTAATCTTGTCCACACAGTAATTCAAAGAAGCCCTGCCCTCTGTACGAGGT